ACAATGATAGATCTGGACCAAACTTGGTACAAATACGCAATATGCCCAAATGTGAACACTGGTGGAGTTTGGGGAAAATAGACCTTGGCATTTGGGAGTTGTAGTTGCTGGGATTTATAGTTCACCTACAATCAAAGAGCATTCTGAACGCCATCAGTTATAGAATTAGGCCAAACTTCACACACAGAACCCCCTCAACCAACCAAATCCTGGAAGGGTCTGGTGGGCACTGACCTTGAGTTTGGGAGTTGTAGTTCACCTACATTCAGAGAGCACTGGGGACTCAAACAGTGATGGATCTGGACCAAACTTGGTACAAATTCTCAGTATGCCCAAATGTGAACACTGGTGGAGTTTGGGGAAAATAGACCTTGGCATTTGGGAGTTGTAGTTGCTGGGATTTATAGTTCACCTACAATCAAAGAGCATTTTGAACCCCATCAATGATAGAATTGGACCAAACTTCCCACACAGAACCCCCACAACCAACAGAAAATACTGGGTTTGGTGGGCACTGACCTTGAGTTTGGGAGTTGTAGTTCACCTATATCCAGAGAGCACTGGGGACTCAAACAATTATGGATCTGGACCAAACCTGGCAGGGATATTTAATATGCCCAAATGTGAACACTGGTGGAGTTGGGGAAAATAGACCTTTAAAAAAAATTAAAGAAGAGGAAGCCTTCTCATTCTGCTTCTACCTGAGGGTGAATCTACATTGGAGAATTAATGCAGTTGGACACCACCTTCACCGACACGGCTCAATGATATGAATTCATGGGAGATGCTGTCTTCCTGCGTCTGTATCCTTCTGAATCAAAGAATGTTAGCGCCTAACGACAAGCTCCAGGCTTCCATACCAAACTGTGCTAATTCCTCAGTAACTTAGAGAACAAGGAGGGCTTTTACTTCCATTTTGCCAAGGTGAGGCATGACTGCACGTTTTCAGGGCATCCCTTGAGAGGGAAGCATGCGTGCGGAGGAAGATGTGCATCTTTGACAGAAAGAGAGACAGACAGACAGACAGAGAGGCTGCCTAGTCTGGTTGGAGAAGCAGACCCAAAGCCCATGAATACATCTACACTGAGAAATGCATGCAGTCTGACACTGCTTTCACTGCCTCATGCTCCCCGCTATGGAGTCCTGGGATCTATAGTTCAGTGAGAAGGTGACAGACCTTAGAAAACCCTGGCCTGGAGATATGGCAGTTAAATAAGTGGGGTCCATTTGTATTCATGCAACAGTGTGGGTGCGGGAGGATGGGCAGGGGAGAGTTATAGTTTGGTGAGGTAGCAGAGCCATTTGGCAGAGAAGGCTCAAGACCTTCTCGAACTATAATCCCCAGGATCCCATTTAAAGTGAGCAATTGCAATCTGCCTGTAGTGTAGAGGTAGGCAGAGAGAGTGAGATGGAGAAGAGAGGGAAGGAGGAGAGGAGAGTGAGAGAGAGGGAAGGAGAGAGGAAGAGGAAGGGGGAAGGATTGAGAGAAAAGGAGAGAGCAGGATGAGGGAGAGAAAAAAGAGAGAAGGAGAGGGATTGAGAAAGAGGGAAAGAGTAGAGAGGAAGAGAAAGAGAGAGGGGGAAAGATTGAGAGAAAAGGAGAATGAGAGGAGGATTAGGGAGGGAGAGGAGGAGAGGGGAGTGAGAGAGAGCAAAAGAGGAGAGAGGAGATAGAGAGAGGGGGAGAAGGAGAGAGAAAATGGAGAGAAAAGGAGAGTGGAAGGGAGATGAGAGAGAGAAGGAGGAGAGAGGGAAAGAGAGAAGGAGAGAAAAAGAGAGATGAGAAGGAGAGAGGGTGAGAAAAGGAGAGAGGAAGAGAGGGGGGAATGGAGAGAAAAGGAGAGAGGGGGAGAGAAGAGAGAAGGTAAAGGTATGGGGAGAGAGAAGGAGAAGGGAATGAGAGAGAGGAAAATAGGGAAAGAGGGGGGAAAGTGAAAGAAGGAAGGATGGAGGGTAAAGGAAAGGGAGGGGGAGGAAAAGAGAGAGAAAGGTAAGTGAGGGTGGGAGAAAGAAGGCAAGAGAAAGGGAGAGAGGAAGAAAGAGGGAAAGATTGAGAGAAGAGAAAGGTGAGGGAGGGAGGTAGAAAGAAAGCAAGAAAAGGGGAGAAGAGGGAGAGGAAGGGAGAGAGGGAGGGAGAAGGAGAGAGAGAGGATAGGGGAAAAGATGGAGAGAATAGGGAGAGAGAGAAGGTGAGGGAAGGAGAGAGAGAAGGAGAGGGGAGTGAGAGAGAGGGAAAGAGGGACAGAGAGAGCGAGAGGCAAAAGAGGAAAAGAGAGAGGGAAGGATGGAGAGTAAAGGTGAGAGAGGGGGAGGAAGAGGAGAGAGAGAGAAAGGTGAGGGTGGGAGAAAGAAGGCAAGAGAAAGGGAGAGATGAAGGAAGAGGGAGAGAGGGAAAGATGGAGGGAAGAGAGGAAGAGAGAAAGGTGAGGGAAGGAGGAAGAAAGAAGGCAAGAAAAGGGGAGAAGAGGGAGAAGGAGGGAGGGAAAGATGGAGAGGAGAGAGAAAGATAAATGGGAGGGAGGGAGGGAGAAAGAAGGTAAGAGAAAGGGAGAGAGGAGGTAATAAGAAGAGAGGGAAAGATGGAGCAAAGAGAGAGGGGAGAGGAAAAGACAAAGGTGAGGGAGGGAGAGAGATAAGGAGAGGGGAGTGTGTGAGAGGGAAAGAGGGTGGGAGAGGGAAGGAGAGAGTGAGAAAGGAAAGAGTGAGGGAAGGATGGAGTGAAAATGAAAGAGAGGGGGCAAGATGGAGAGAAGAGAGAGAAGAGAGAAAAAGAGAAAGGTGAGGGAGGAAGACCGAGAAGAAGAGGGGAGTGTGTGAGAGAGAAAGAGATTGGGAGAGAGTGAAAAATGAAAGAGGAAAGGGGAGGATGAGATGAAAAGGAGAGAGGGGGGAAAGATGGAGAGAAGAGAGAAAGAAGAAAAGGTGAGTTAGAGAGGGAGAAAGAAGGCAAGAAAAAGGGAGAGATGGAAAAGGAGAGAAAAGCTGGAGATGAGAGAGAGGGGAGAGAAAGAGAAAGTGAGGTAGGGAGAGAGAGAGGAGAGGGGAGTGTGAGAGAGGGAAAGAGGTTGGGAGAGGGCGGGAGAGAGTGAGAAACGAAAGAGGAAAGAGAGGGAAGGATGGAGTGGAAAGGAGAGAGGGGGAAAGATGGAGAGAAGAGAAAGGTGAGGGAGAGAAGGAGAAAGAAGGCAAGAAAAAGGGAGAGATGGAAAAGGAGAGAGAGGAAAGAAACAGAGAAAGGTGAGGGAGGAAGACAGAGAAGAAGAGGGGAGTGTGAGAGAGGGAAAGAGGTTGGGAGAGTGAAAAACGAAAGAGGAGAGGGAAGGATGGATTGAAAAGGAGAGAGGGGGAAAGATGGAGAGAAGAGAGGAGAAAAGAGGGAAAGATGAGGGAGGGAGAAAGAAGGCAAGAAAAAGGGAGAGAGGAAGAGAAAAGGAGAGAGAGAAAGATGGAGATGAAAGAGAGGGGAGAGAAGGAGAGAAAGGCGAGGGAGTAAGAGAGAGAAGAAGAGGGGAGTGTGTGAGAGAGAAAGATGTTGGGAGAGAGTGAGAAACGAAAGAGGAGAGGGAAGGATGGGGTGAAAAAGAGAGAGAAGGGGAAAGATCGAGAGAAGAGAGAGAGAGAGGAGAAAAGAGAAAGGTGAGGAAGGGAGAGAGAAAGAAGGCGAGAGAAAGATGGAGAGAGAGAAAGATGGAGAGAAGGGAGAGGGGAGAGAAAAAGAGAAAGTGAGGTAGGGAGAGAGAGAGGAGAGGGGAGTGTGAGAGAGGGAAAGAGGTTGGGAGAGGGCGGGAGAGAGTGAGAAACGAAAGAGGAAAGAGAGAGGGAAGGATGGAGTGGAAAGGAGAGAGAGGGGGAAAGATGGAGAGAAGAGAGAGAGGATAAAGATAGAAAGATGAGGGAGGGAGAAAGAAGGCAAGACAAAGAGAGAGATGGAAAAGAGAGGGAAAAGATGGAGATGAGAGAAAGAGGAGAGAAAGGTGAGGGAGGGAGTGAAAAAGAAGGTAACAGAAAGGAGAGAGGAAGAGAAAAGGAAAGAGAGAAAGGTGAGGAAGGGAGAGAGAAAGAAGGCAGAGAAAGATGGAGAGAGAGAAAGATGGAGAGAAGGGAGAGGGGAGAGAAAAAGAGAAAGTGAGGTAGGGAGAGAGAGAGGAGAGGGGAGTGTGAGAGAGGGAAAGAGGTTGGGAGAGGGCGGGAGAGAGTGAGAAACGAAAGAGGAAAGAGAGAGGGAAGGATGGAGTGGAAAGGAGAGAGAGGGGGAAAGATGGAGAGAAGAGAGAGAGGATAAAGATAGAAAGATGAGGGAGGGAGAAAGAAGGCAAGACAAAGAGAGAGATGGAAAAGAGAGGGAAAAGATGGAGATGAGAGAAAGAGGAGAGAAAGGTGAGAGAGGGAGTGAAAAAGAAGGCACCAGAAAGGAGAGAGGAAGAAAAAAGGCGAGAGAAAGGGAGAGAGGGAGAGAAAAGGAGAGGGAGAGAAGAGGACAGAGAAAGGGAGAAAGGTGAGGGAGAGAGAAAGAAGGCGAGAGAAAGGGAGGGAGAGAGGGAGAGAAAGATGGAGAGGAGAGAGGAGAGAGAAACGTGAGGAAGGGAGAGAGAAAGGCTAGAGAAAGGGAGAGAGTGAGGGAAAAGGAGAGAGAGAGAAAGATGGAGAGGAGAAAGGGAGAAAGGTGAGGAAGGGAGAGAGAAAGAAGGCGAGAGAAAGGGAGAGAGGGAGGCAGAGTGAGAGAAAGGGAGAAGGGATAGAAAGAGAAGAGGAGAGCGAGAGAAGGAAGAGACGGAGAGAAAGGAGGGAGAAAAAAAGGGGCTGCCCAGCTTGATTTGGGAAGCCAGCCCCTCGGGAGCAGAAGCCCTTCCCTGGCAATGCCGATGGACCTGGGCATCGCCCGTGCCCATCTCTTTAGGTATGCCTTGCCCGTCTCCGCAAGGCACCCACCTGCAAGGCGAGCTCCCTCCCTCCTTCCCTCCCGGCACCCAGCCCAGGTGGGCATCTGCTTGGCGACTCACCTTGCGGCTGCTCCGCGGCGTCTCCTCTCTCCCTTCCTTCCTTTCCAGCGGCAGGTGTGGGGAGGGGGTCCCGGGAGGGGAAAGGGGAAAGGGGAGAAGAGAGGAGGGGAGCCTTTAAGGGCGGCCCTTTGGCCCCCCGGCGCCCGGCTGGGCTCCCACGCGCGGCGGATCCACGCAGCAGGTGGCCATGGCAAAGGCAAGGATGGAGGAGAGAGAGGGAAGGAGGGAGGGAGGGAAAAGGGAGGGATGGAGAGAAGGAGGGATGGCTCCGGCTGGCGTCCACCCACCCACTCCCCCTCCTCGCCCGGCCCGGGCTCCTCCCGCTTTGCTCTCGCCCACGTCAAAACTCCAGCACGCGCGAAAGAGGAGGAGGAGGAGGAGAAAGGAGGCAGCTGCCAGGGGATGCTCCCTCCAAGCCAAGCCAAGCCTTGGCACATCTGGCAAACACCAGCCGGAAGGGAGAAGGCTCCAAAGGTGGCACCAAGAGGGTCGGCTTCTTTCAACGGTTGGGCAGCGCCACCCCAAAGCTGCCACCTCTTCATGGTGCCACCCTCAAGCCAGTACGTGCGTCTTCCCTCCTCACTTTATGCCAGCCCTAGGACAGATAGACCCATTTGCCAGCCCCCAAAGGAATGCACACTCACTGCAATAACAGTCGGCTGTACCTTTTTTTAGACGTTGGCGTCGGCACTGGTCCGAAAGAAATCTCTCCGCACAAGACACATCACAACAATACGCCCTGGCTGAGTAGCCATGCCTCTTTAGAAGTAGGCATCATCGTTACACATTGGCACGTCTCCCTCTCCAGTCTACGATGCCAGTCTTAGGAAGACCCATTTGCCGGTCCGCAAAACCCTTGGCGCCGATGTCACAATGCCACTCTTCGAAGGACCCGTTTGCCAGTCGGAAAAGAAATCTTTCCCACGCAAGACCCTTGGCATCAACGACATTTGGCCGTGGCTATTTAGAAGTAGGCATCATCATTACAGATTCATCTCCCTCTCCAACCTGCCAGTCTCAAGAAGACCCATTCGCCAGTCTCCAAGACCCTTGGCACCACTGTAGACACTAGACACATTTGTCGAGGTGCCACTCTTTGCCAGTCTGAAAAGAAATCTCTCCCACGTAAGACCCTTGGCATCAATGAGATTTGGTGTGCCTCTTTAGAAGTAGGCATCATCATTACAGATGCATCTCCCTCTCCAGTCTGTGTGCCTATGATGCCAGTCTTAGGAAGACCCATTTGCCGGTCCATAAGACCCTTGGCACAGCTGCAGACACATTTGTTGAGATGCCACTCTTCAAAGGACCCCTTTGCCAGTCCAAAAAGAAATCTTTCCCATGCAAGACCCTTGGTATCAATGATCTTTTGCCAAGGCTTTTTAGAAGTAGGCATCATCATTACAGATGCATCTCCCTCTCCAGTCTGTGTGCCTACGATGCCAGTCTTAGGAAGACCCACAAGACCCTTGGCACCGCTACAGACACATTTGTTGAGATGCCACTCTTCAAAGGACCCCCTTTTCCATCCAAAAATAAGTCTTTCCTACACAAGAACCTTGGCATCTATGGCATTTGTCCATATCTCTATCATCATTACAGGCAGATAATATGTCTCCTTCTCCAGTCTGTGAGCCTACAATGCCAACCTTAGGAAGGCCCATTGCCAGTCCAAAAAGAAATCTCTCTAACGCAAGACCTTTGGTATCAATGACATTTGGCCATGCCTTTTTAGAAGTAGGCATCATCATTACACATTGATACATCTCCCTCTCCAGTCGGTGTGCCTACAATGCCAGTCTTAGGAAGACCCATTTGCTGGTCTGCAAGACCCTTGGCACCGCCACAGATCCATTTGTTGAGATGCCACTCTTAGGAGGAGCCCTTTGCCAGTACAAAAATAAGTCTTTCCCACACAAGACCCTTGGCATCCATGACATTTGGCCATATCCCTTTAGAAGTAGGCATCATCATTACGGACAGATATGTCTCCCTCTCAGTCTGTGTGCTGACAATGCCAGTCTTAGGAAGATCCATTTGAAAGTCTGCAAGACCCATGGCACTGCTGCAGATGCATTTCTCAAGAGGCCACTCTTAGAAGGACCCCTTTGCCAGTCCAAAATAGAAATATTTCCCACACAAGACCCTTTGGCCGTGCCTCTTTAGAACTAGGCATCATCATTACAGACAGATATGCCTCCTTCAGTCTGTGTACCTATAATGCCAGTCTTAGGAAGACCTATTTGCCGGTCCCCAAGATCCTTGGCACCACTGCAGATGCATTTGTCAAGATGCCACTCTTGGAAGGTGCCCTTTGCCAGTCCGAAAAGAAATCTTTTCTATGCATGACCCTTGACATCAATGACATTTGGCTGTGCTTCATCATTACAGACCAATATGTCTCCCTCTCCAATCTGTGTTCCCATGATGCCAGTCTTAGGAAGACCCATTTGCTGGTCCTGCAAGACCCTTGGCAACACCACAGATTCATTTGTCAAAATGCCACCCTTTGCTAGTGCGAAAAGAAATCTTTCCCATGTTAGACCCTTGGCATCCATGACATTTGGTCATACCTCTTTATCTATTGATTTATTTATTTACTTCCCTTGTATACCACTTTTCTCTCCTAAGCGGGGGACTCAAAGTGGTTTCCCACATAATTATGGCCTAACTTAATGCCTCACATACGGAAACCTAACCTAACAATAATAACACATAATGATCATGGGATTAAAATCATATCAATATAAACATTAAAATCACACAATCCAACAATCATAGTCCATGCCGTTCCAAATATCATTTCTATTGCACATAAATCATTCCTTATACTGCTTGTTGCTCAAAGGCAAGTTTTTACTTTTCTTCTGTAGGCCAGGAAGGGGGGTGCTGATCTAATTTCGTTGAGGAGGGAGTTCCAAAGCAGAGGGGCCACTACTGAGAATGCCCTGTCTCTTGTCCCCACTTGTCGCACTTGGGAAGGAGGTGGGACTGAGTGCAGGACCTCCCCAGATGATCTTAATCTCCAAGGTAGTTCATAGAGGGAGATATGTTTGGACAGCTAAACTGGGTCAGAACCATTTAGGCCAGCATTTCTCAACCTGAGGGGTCGGGACCCCTGGGGTGTTCGTGAGGGGGTGTCAGAAGGGTCGCCAAAGACCTAGAGAAACTAGAGCTGATGTGGTCTATCTAATGCAATTTTCTGAATCGGCACCCCAAATAAGGAAACAATGTAAAATTGACCAAGAACTGATTCGTAACTTTTTTGATACTAATGTTGGAGAGTGGTCCCTGGTCAAAGTGGTCAAATAAAAATTGGCAACCACTGCTCTTTAGAAAGAAAGACTAGAAATATGCAAAAGACATTGGGGAATTTTATCACATAAGGCAGCATTCCTCAACCTGAGAGTTGGGAGCCCGGGGGGGGGGGGGTTGTGAGGGGGGTGTCAGAGCGGTCACCAAAGACCATAAGAAAACATAGTATTTTCTGTTGGTCATAAGGGTTCTGTGTGGGAAGTTTGGCCCAATTCTATCATTGGTGGGGTTCAGAATGCTCTTTGTTTGTAGATGAACTATAAATCCCAGCAACCATAACTCCCAAATGTTAAGGTCTGTTTTCCCCAAACTCCACCAATGTTCACATTTGGGCATATTGAGTATTTGTGCCAAATGTGGTCCAGATCCATCATTGTTTGAGTCCACAGTGCTCTCTGGATGTAGGCAAACTACAACTCCAAAAACTTAAGATCAATGCCCACCAAACCCTTCCAGTATTTTCTCTTGGTCATGAGAGTTCTGTGTGCCAAGTTTGGTTCAATTCCATTGTTGGTGGGATTCAGAATGCTCTTCAACTGTATATGAACTATAAATCCCAGAAACTACAACTCCTAAATGTTAAGGTCTATAAACTCCACTACTATTCACATTTGGGCATACTGAGTATTTGTGCCAAGTTTGGTCCAGATCCAACATTATTTGAGTCCACAGTGCTCTCTGGATGTAGGTGAACTACAACTCCAATACTCAAAGTCAATGCCCAGTATTTGCTGTTGGTCATGGGAATTCTGTGTGCCATGTTTGGTTCAAATCCATCATTGGAATTCAGAATGCTCTTTGATTGTAAGTGAACTATAAATCCCAGCAACTACAACTCCCAAATGACAAAATCAATCCCTCCCAACCTCACAAATATTCAAATTTGGGTGTATCAGGTATTTGTGCCAATTTTGGTTCCAGTGAATAAAAACACATCCTGCACATCAGATATTTACATTATGATTCATAACAGGAGCAAAATTTTAGTTGTGAAGTAGCAACGAAAAGAATGTTTTGATTGTGGGTCACCACAACATGAGGAACGGCATTAAGGGGTTGTGGCATTTGGAAAGTGGAGAACCACCAACAGAAGGTGTCTTGTAAAAAAGACCCAGACGTACAGGACTCAAATACACATGAAGCTAGAAAGGTTAAATTTACAATGAAAGCACAATTTGTATGCGTCAAGGATGCTGGGTTATAAGCACTAAAGGAGCCAAAGGACACAATGTTAGGAATGTAAATGTTTCCCATCTGGGACAAATCATGATTGATCGCTAACAATAGGTGGGAGTGATGGAGGCGAACAGGGGTGCTTTGAATGCTTTCGGAGCCAGCACACAACCAATCGTCTAAATAGAGGATTTCTCGAAAGCCAGAGACACGACAGGTGGAGGCATAAAACAAAACACCTAAGCAAAGCCTAGCAAATATATGAATTCTGTTGACACAATTGAGCCTGTAACTCAGAATGCATCTAGCTCCGAAAGAACCATTTTTTTTTAAAAAAAATCTTGTTATGAGTTCTCTGCCTCCTCAAAAGATTGTGTTAGTCTCTCACAAACTGAAAACATGCATTTTAAAAATGTCAGTGAATCTGCAGTCATATCAGAACAGATGCTATTGGATTTGTTGGGGGGGGGGGGGGACCAAATTTGGGATCCCCAAGCTTCTTTGTGGAAGGAAATGCTGCTACAATTCTCCCAGTTTAGATTTTCCCATGGGTTTGGGAGTTCAAAACAACCCGATTCCCATTGAAGTAGTCAATATAGATATTGGGGTATCTAGTCAAACCATTGTCAGTGAAGGAATGCATAGCTCATGCCTGTTAAAGGTGTCCAAAAAGAAGAATCAACCACCTGATTCATAGGATCATAGAATCATAGAGTTGGAAGAGACCTCATTTATTTATTTACGACATTTATATGCCGCCCTTCTCACCCTGAAGGGGAATCAGAGCGGCTTACAAGATAGATAGATAGATAGATA